GGTTTGCCAAAGAGTTTGGCTGATACCATGTGATAATCAAAGAGATATTATTCTCACTTGCGTAAACTGAATACATGAGTACGAATATATAGAGTACAAAACCTAAAAGAATGAAACAAAATAAACTAGAGATATGCAAAGATTTGAGTATATCATAACAAGTCTAACAGTTTGGAGTTAGATATTGCGAAAAAAATCTCGAGATTTGATAAATGATACATACCAAAATAAAAATATTATTTTTCAATCATTCCAAAAAGTCATTGTAACAAACTCCATTAATTTTGATAAACATTATGTCACATTGTTATTGTTGGAGTAGTATACCCGGCGTTCCAATCAGATTGGACGTATTCTACTTGTAAATACAATCTATTGAAATTATATTAAATAATAAGGCATTACTTTATTTTAAGAGTAAGCATTTATATTTGCACTTAAGATAAAATCCCTAGATCACTTATAACTATAAGATATGGTTGTGCATAGAGATGGTGATCATGGAACATATCTTGAAAGCTGTGATATTAAATACAGTTCCAAGTCGTTGGATGTTTCGAGATGGGATATCGACTAAATCCGGAAAAGACTTGTACATAGTATGTATGCTTATTGGATAAGAATGTTGCATTCCATCAACATTAGCGTGTGACGCAAATACATATATGTGGGTGCTTGTTAGAGAACAAGTTCACTGAACATGACCGTATGAAAATTCTTAATGAAAGTTTATCATGTCGAATAAGAATTTTCATGTTACAATAGTACATGATTAATCCTTAGACCTCAGGCACGATGGTAACTTTGTGCATATTATATTTTACTTTGATTTATCTTTTTGATTGCTAGCACAATCGTATAAAGGGATATTTTTGGTATTATATTAATATGTATGGAAGTTTGTCAGTGGCCAACAAAAAATTCGACACTTATGAAGATAAGTGATTTCCTATGTGTTTCATAGTTAGTAATTCAAAGTCCTTGGCCAAGGCGGGATGAATAGAGATTCATAAACGAATTACTAAACTTGAAATGGAATCATAGTTATTAAATCAATTTGGGTTTCGACAAAATCATACCCAAAGATTTAATAGGGAAATTGGATGTCGAAAGGATTTTACATGTATGGACTTGTAATCGAAATAGGTTTACTCGCTATTCACTTAATACTAGATTCATGCTACTTGCTAGATGTTCCCATGATATGTGGGTTCTTGAATTAAAGAGTTAATTCAAGAATAAGAGTTAATATGAATAACTCAAATTACAAAGAGTTGTAAACCCACTACTAGTATTAATTGTGAACCTAAAAGGTCACACCAAATTTTGAATGAATGTAAAATTCAAATAGTAATTCTAAAGAGTTAGAACTAATTGAAAAATCTAATTTGATTAGATGTCAATTAAAGGAATATATTAAATTAATCAATTAGATTGATTAATTGAATTTTGGATATTAATTTAGTAATTAATGGAATTACTAATTAATAGTTGGAATTTAAAATTGGATTTTAAATTTCAAATCCAAATAATAATATGATTATTAAATAAGGAAATTGGAAGAAAAGATTAAAATAATAAAGTTTAGAAAAATATTTTCAAGAATTATTATTTTATTGTTTTATCTTTAATATAATTAAAGATTCAAATAATTGAGAGACAAAATAATGATGGTTGATGGTGGTTATAAACCACTCCACATTATTAATTAAAAGTCAATATTTGGTATGATAATTTAAATAAAATCTGATTTTATTTAAAAATAAATAATTATCAAATATTGATTATTTTATGCTAAAATGTTTAGTATAAATAGGTGCAAAATGTTTGCACATAAATTGCTAAGTTTTTCTAAGTTCTTCCAAAGAGAAAAATCATCCCAATAGTTGAGTGATAAAGCAAGAAAGAGTTCTTGTAAAATTTCCTTATAATTATATATATATTCTATACTTATTGAAAAACCGAGTAGTTTCTACTAGCGAAGAAACTATAGTCGGAACCGGAGTTCAAAAGGTGGATACTCTTAGAGGGAAGACATTTGAATTCCTAAAGCGAGTAACATCAAGAAGTGGACGTTACCAAACCGGGAATTGATTTCCTCATCCATCGTCGTTTTTTGAAGGAGTTCAAGAACAAAGGTAATTTTATAAATTACATATCAAATCAAAATTAGTAAAAGTTACTAGATTTTAAATGATTCTTATTTGTTATCTCGTTATACTTATGTACGGAATAAGAATTTATGAGATAAATACTTATAAAATTTTAAATTCCGCTGCAAACTCTGTTCCGTAC